AGCAATGCAAACCTGTCGGAGGCATGACTGACCCAAATCTACTCGGAAGGTGCAGGCCTACATCTCTTCCGGGGGGGGGGTCGTGCAGAGAAGCGCGCCCCCCTCCCTGGAAGCGATGTCCGCCTGCTCTTTAAAAATAGATTTAAGTAAGTAATGGCTCCGACAGGTTTGCATTGGTCGGTGTGGAGCGGAGCCCGTATTGTACGAGTAGGCCTGTCGATCGCGACGGTCCTGGTTCTCACCTCCGGCCACCTGCAGCCGCTCGCAGGTAGTCCCGATGTGAGTGAGTATTCTTGATACGAAACCACGACGACACACACCAGTCGACTCGCATCGGTTGCCTCCATGAACGGCGGAGCTATTCTCGCGCCCACACCACACCTGGCTCCAACATGGACACGCCCATAGCTGGGGACACTACTAGGTCACGCATGGCATCAGAAGTTTTATCTCTGGGCCCCGAAAGGCATCTCTAGCAGCGTCGTTACGCATGCGCCCTCCCCTCCTGTGGGCGCATGCGCCTCACGTCTCGACAGAGCGTAAGCCCCTTGGCGTGTGACGAGACGAGTTCTTCGCCATCGCAGCGAGCAGCACACCACTCGCCGCAGCAGCCGGAGGCATCACACACACACACACACACACGTAGTCCCGATAAGCCATTCACAGAAAGCTGGGACGGCGCCTCATGCCCCAGCCCCCTCTTAGCGCTACCCAACGCGGCCAAAGGATATCCACCTCGAGAACCTCGAGAACCTCGAGAGCCCCCTCTTGACATCGATCGCACACTCTCTTCGCTGCGGCGGCACGATGGGAGAGCTCCGCGAGAAGAAGGAAAAGTACCAGCCCATGCAGATCGCCGAAGAGGAGGGGAAGCCCGAGTCGCGCTTCGAGGCCCTGCGTTCCGCCATGGGCGCGTCCGAGATCGCGATGGCCGCCGCCTCGTGGGCGACGTGCTCCATCTCCATGACGCTGCTCAACAAGGTCGCCGTCGGCCGGTCGCACGCGCCGATCGCCGTGGTGATCGTGCAGATGCTCGCGACGGTCGGCATGGCCGCTGGCTCCAAAAACGTCCACTTCGGCAACGGCTGGAGGCTGTGGGCGCTGGCCGTGCCGCCGCTCTTTGCGCTCATGATGGTGACGTCGATGATCGCGCTGCAGTACGTGACGGTGGGTACGTTCGTGGTGGTGCGCAACCTGGGCCCAATCGTCACGCTGCTGATCGAGTCGGTCATGCACAAGCCGGAGACGCTTACCTTCGACTGGCGATCGGCCGGCGCCACCGGCGCGATCGCGCTCGGCGTCTTTATCTACGAGGCCAAGGAGATCCGATTCTCGGAGATCCGATTCTCGGGGGTGGGCTTGATCTTCCTGATCGCCAACCTCGGCAGCTCGTGCGCGGAGCGCATGATGCAGCGCCACCTCCTCGCCGTGCGCGAGGTCGACGTCAGCAAGCCTGCGCTTATGATCCTCAACAATGGCCTGGGCGCCCTCTTCAGCATGCTCGTCCTCATCATCGCGTCGCCCCAGGAGATGCACTCCTTGTACCACGCCCTCAAATTCAAGCGGGGGACCGGCATCTCCTTGGTCGCGTCGTGCGTCGTCGGCTGCCTCATCTCGTACGCGGGCCTGTGGCTGCAGCGCCTCGTGACCGCCACCTCGTTCATGGTGCTCGGCTCGTTCACCAAGATGATCGTCATCGCGTATGGCATCGTCATGCTAGGCGATTCGCACGGCTTCGTCTCCGTCTTCGGCGCCGTCCTGTCCTTGGCGGGCAGCTACGCCTACTCGCGGATTAAGTGAGCCTGCGGCGGCGTATGCGCATGTGCATGTCATTGCGGTGAGTCGCCTAGACGCCGAGTGACGGCTTAAAAAAACGGTTCCCCCTACTTGTGTTCTTTTCGGTCGTAGCTACGTGCACTCGACCACTCGGACAAAGCGTACTCCGTCTACTCGCCTACTCGCTATCTCCTATGAAACACTAGTTCACACTACTAGAGAGGGCCCACAGCGGTCCTAATCTAAAATCTGAGGATTGAGGATTCAGCCTTCGCTTTAGTGAGGCCAAAGTGAGTTTATGGATGGGTGAGAACGATGCGCGACACGAGGAGGCACGCGCATGGCTCCTGTCGTCAGACAGACGTGGAGACGCGAGGGTTGCCCCCCCCCCCTGCCCCACCACCTGTATGTGTGGAGAAGTTTACCTTCCTTACCTTACCTTACCTTACTTAGCTCCCACCGTGCACCCGCCCGCCCCCGCCACAGGCAAGCTCATTCACAATCTGCTCTGCGATTGCCGTGTGAAGAACGACCGACACACGCTGCTTCTGTAGCCCCAGCCAGTCAGTTCTTAGTGGTCCAAGTCACCTCATCGAGGTATTGGGCCCGCGTCAGCTTGTTCACTGCAGCACGTCCGCCGCTTTCCAGAGGATCTCGGTTCTCGCGGACCCCCTTCCCGAACCCGCTGAACGATTCGAACAGCAGCAGCTGCACTTCAAAGTCCTTGTCTTCCCTGGCGAACGTGAGCCCCCGCTGTAAAGCGGAAAAGAATTTGCGTTTGTTTCATACCATCGAAGGCTAAGCTCAAAAGAATTTTACAACAAAACTCTCTTCTTACGCGCGACGACGCTACAGCCTCCACCAAACCTCACACTTTTACTCACCCTCGGACATGCTTGCACCGTCATCCTGCGCGTCTGATGCGTCGCGCATCTGCTCGTCACCCTCTCCGTCACTCGCGTCGGCGGGCGACCGGGCTGTGGGTGCGGCCTGCTTCTTTCTTGCGCTCGCGGCGCCGGCGCCACGGCGCCGTTTGCGTCCGTCTTTTGCGCTTCGCTTGGCAAGCTCGCCCGCAAAGTACGCCGCGCGCGCGGCATCCCAGACGCCCTCCCCGTCGGCGTAGCCCGCCTCCCAGATGGCGAGCACGGGGTTGTGCTTGAGCTTGCGCAAGTGGGCGCTCTCTTTCTTCGGGTCGAAGCCCACCACGTAGAGCCGGCTCCCGAGGCGTACGCGTGAGGCGAGCGTGTAGACATCGGTCAGGCTGAGGTGCGGCATCAAGCCGTCACGCGGGCCGATGCTCAGGATGATGTAGTCGAGCGTCTTGCCCTGGACCTTGTAGTCGGTGACGGCAAAGGCGAGGTCGATTTCGTGCCGCTTGACATGCCGCACACCGCGTGCGCCGGGCAGCCGCACTGGCCGCGTTGTGGGCGCACGGTCTTGGCGACCGCCGGCGCTGCGCGCCGGTCGTGCTGCTCACGCTGCCGGCGGCGCTGGTCGCGCGCCTGCCGATCGCGCGTGTTCGCGGCGGCTGCATCTCTTGCTCGTTTCGCTCGCACCCGAGCGGCTGTCGCCAGGCGCTTCAGGTCGGCGGTGCTGCGCGCGCGGCCGTCGGCCAGGCACAGCCACATGTCCTCCTCCTTAGCAGGCTCGCACGGCTTGCCGTCGAACTGCGGCTGGCGCCCGCGACGATGCTTCGCCCAGGCCGGGCACGATGGTGCCGCGACGAGCGGCGTCGAGGCGACGGCCATCGATGGGTCCAGAAGACTTGGAGACA